TTCCTCTATGGCCCTCGCCGCCGCTATTCCCCAGCACTGGGTTGGTGGAATAGCCCAAGGCGGGCCCCCCTCGAAAGGGAGAGGAAACATCAGCTCGTTCTGAGAGAATCGGAGGCCTTGATACGTCAGTTACGTCTGTAACTCTAGTATTCCGGCCCTCCGTGAACGCAGCACGGTTTTGAGCTGCACTGACTGAGGTATTAACCTGAGACAGAGCGCCCTCCCCGGATAGCAATTGCGTCATCATGTCATTGTCTGACTGAGACTGCTGCTTGTCATGAGATCCATCCACTGCAGTACTCAACAGAGTCTGGAAAGTGTGGTCTCTAACTGGTACCACAAGGTGGCGCCACAATACCTCTTTTTTACTGGTCTCATGAGGCTGCTCAACAGCACACTCTAGGTGTGGTGAGCTGCACTCACGAGTAGTGGGCATTGTTACGTTCTGAATTAACCGGGGGCGCCCATACATTGGTTACACCTGTAACTCTAGTATTCCGGCCCTCCGTGAACGTCGCACAGGTCTGAACTGCGCTGGCTGAGGCGTTAGCCTGAAGCCAGGCGTCATTCCCAGCTAGCGGCTGCTTCTTCATGTCATATTTAGACTGAGACAGCTGCCTGCTATGTGAGACCTTTACTACAGAGCTCCTAGGAGTCTGTAGTAAAATATTTTTATTAGGTGAGCTAAGGCTACGCCTTGCTACCTTTTTCTCTTTCCTCTCCTGAGTGTGTTCAACTACGCACCCTCGGTGGGTTGAGCTACACTCAGGATGGTGAGAGAAATTCATAGGACGTGAAGTACTCTGCAATGTGTCATGGAAGAAAGGCTCTTTTGTGACAATGTCAGTGAGAGCCAGCTCTTTATTCACATAACAACAATAAACATTTCCCTCCATGCCCTGAACAGTAGGGTGGGGGGGAACAGTGGGCTCTGTCGCGTCCAGTGCCGAGCCGTCATCCGTCCTCTCCCCCTCGTCCCGTCATTGACGCCGTCGTTTCTGGCTGACCTTCTGGTGTTGCCAGGATGGTTTTGTGACGACCTCTCTCGCCGGCGGAATCGTCGCCACCACCGTCGTCGCTGGAGGGGCCGAGCCCGCTCGCCTGCTGTCGGTGGTAGGCGCCTGTCGCCTGGCCCGTCGCCTCCCTGTAGTTCTACTGGGGGCGTTAGAGGTTGACGGGTTAGTTGAGGCCCTGCTAAACTTGCCTGCCAATGGCAGGTGTTTAGCCAGGTGCTTTCTTTCTTCGTCAAGCTTACCAAAACGTTCCGTCGCCTCCTTAACGGCGACCCCAAAGAGGCCCTCGCTAGAGACGGGAGCGTTTAGCAGCGAGGCTCTGTCCGTCTCCTTCATGGCTGTCATTGACAGCCAGAGGTGACGTTCCATGACCACCGAGGTGGCCATGGACCGGCCTGCGCATATCGCTGACGCCTGTGTCAAATGAAGAATAGCGCCAGAAATCCTGGACGCCTCTTCAATCTCCTCGCTGGTCAACTCAGACCTACCCGTTGTTAGACGGGATAGGGAGGCCGCGAGGAGGGCAATGTTGTTAGCCGCTGACACAGCCTGGGCTCCCAGCGTAAAGGACTTCTCAGCCAGCTGTGCTGTGAGTCTGTCCTTTTGTGCTGGCAAGGTGGCTTTCTTGGAGGCCGCCCAGGGACTCGAACCCGGCACTAGATACGCCGCCATGGCGCTCTCGAGCCTAGGGATTCCCTTAGCAGCCCACTCACGTCCAGCCACTCTCGTGAATGGGGTGTACACTTTGGCCGGCGAACGCGCCGCCAGGGGTGTATCCCACGAGCCCTCGACATATTTTCAGAGGGAAGGCATAGCAGGAGCCATCGGCTCAGCTGCCTTCCTCGGTCTAGAGTAGGGGCCGCCCTCCATCATGTCGACCTCCACAGGGGGCAGCGCTATCTCGAGTCGATTGGCGGCTCTCTCAATGAGTTCGGGAAAGTCCGCACGCAGAGAGGCCGCTGCGAAGGACAGGGCTGCTGACGTAACAGAGCCCGTGTCGTCATCGCACAAGGAGCCTTCAGATCTCGCCCTCCCCATAGGGAAGGGGGTCTTGAAGGTTGGCGCCAGAGGGTCGGATTGTTCCATTGGAACATCCATCTCTGCGTCTCTCTCCTTGTCCACCCCTGAGTCAGCACTGTCCGTCGACGCCTCTGAAGCAGAGGCGAGAAGAGACAGTACATCCTCTAGGGGGATATCCTCCCTAAAGAACGCCCAACGCTGCTTCCTCACCTTCATAGGAAGGAGGGCGCAGGAGGTGCAATTAGGGGGATTGCCGGTTCCTTCCTTGGCATGCTGCGGCCCCAAACACACGAAACAAAGGTCATGGGGGTCCGCAGATGCCATGGAGGAGCATCGGCACTGAGCCCTGAAAAGGGCTTTTGGGGGTGGAAAATCTCCTGGCGTGCTCATTTTAGAAGACGTCGATGGCTGGCTCATCGACGCCGATTTCTTCCTGAGTCTTCTTCTCTTCTTGGCTTCTTCAGTCTAGTCGTCCAGTCGCTGAAGATAATGGGAGGCTGATTGAGGGGAAGCGTCCCCTCTTATAGGGACACCTGTGCTCCCATTGGCTGCAGGTGTGTGCATAATTTTGCTTCAGGCTGTTGCTGCCTTAAACCACTAGGAGCAGAGCTCCCCTATGGGGCGGAGCTCCACGATATAGAACTAGTATAGTACATTACTGGTAAGGACTGGAGTGGGAATCATTTCAAGTGATCTGCTGTAGTTTGGTTAAAGTGGCAATCTGCGGTTGCTACATAATTTTGTTTGACATATAAACTATTGATATGTACCCATTGATTCTTGAAGAATATAACTTATAAATGCCTCATTAACTTAGTTCAACTGTCGTACCCCCATTAGAACCCAAAATGTACGCTTGTTTTACTCCAATGTTTGTAAACAAACACTGTATAGCCTCAAAACATGGTTAAAACTATAATTTTGATATCATGGATGGTCGATCCTTGCATCCATAGCTCTGTCTGCGAATTTGAATGGTTGGATTTCTTCAGCCCTATCCCTCAGCTTTTTAGCGAAACAGTGGTGGGGAATGCGCTTTGTTATTGTTTCAAACGCTGATTGCCGCTTTAAGACGTCATCCTGCAACGCAGATCGGTATATTTACATTTATGTCATTTAGCAGACGCTCTTATCCAGAGCGATTTACAGTTAGTGAGTGCGTACATTTTTCATACTGCCCCCCCGTGGGAATCGAACCCACAACCCTGGCGTTGCAAACGCCATGCTCTACCAACTGAGCTACATGGGACATATCACTTATATTGTGATCAATGACATTTTCATGGAGACATTTTAAATGATAGAAAATATTTCAGATTGGAGCAGAACTACCTCTAGATCAGGTAAATCAGAGGAGTTTGAAAGACCAAGGGCAAGAGTGATCCGGTAATATGGTCAGGTGCAGCAAAGAAAGACCTAGCAAAGTTGCAGCTGGCTCAAAATAAAGCAGCACGCCTTGCCCTTAACTGCACACATAGAACTAACATCAACAACATGCATGATAGTCTTTCATGGTTGAGGAGAAATGTAATACTTATGTCGTATATGATGAATGGTGGCAATTATTGCTGTCAACAAAAAGTCCGCTATGCTGCATCGTGTTAGAGGCTTTTATTAAAATCACGAGTTTACAGCATAGGTACAGACTCGCGATGTCCGGAGAACGGCTCCCCAGATTGATATGGCCGTTCTAACTCTCCCGCGCCTAACCCCCTTATTTATAAACAATGAAACTCCCTCCTCTGGCCAATCACCAGTCTCCCCTTTATATAGCCTTCCAAGAGTTGAATAGCTCCCTCTACTGTCCAATCCCCATATCTTACAAACCCCTTCCTGTCTGTCATATGTCATCATACTAAACATTGCCTTCTGATACTAACATAACCAACATTCCATTTCTTCATGAAAAACATTTAACAAAGGCATAATCTTCAGATACGATACTTCTCTTCTAATCTTTTTAAGAAAAATGTGTGTGTCGAAAATGCCTAACCACTTGTATAATCTATTTGCATACACTTCAAACAGACATACAGTACATACCCAACCAGACACGCAACTATGGGTTTCTTCACTGTACCCAAACCAAAAACACATCAAATGCGTCGTTCAGTTATGTATAGAGCCATGTCATCGTGGAATGCTCTGCCACCAGAGGTTACTCAGGAAAAAAAGTTTAGCTTTAAAAAACAGATTAAAAAAAACACCATATTGTATCACAGTGCCTCTTTCTAAAGATATAATTTAACTGTATATAATAATATGAATATGTATGAATAGTGTGTAAATAGTATTTTTGTCTCTTGGTGTCTTTCCAATTTATAAGTATTTTATTTTGTATTATTATTAATGTTTTATATATTTAATGTAATTAATTAATTAAATGGCCTTGTCTATAACTGTTCTGTATTTTGTCATGTATTTGTGCTTTTTATGTGGACCCCAGGAAGAGTAGCTGAATGTGCAGTAGCTAATGGGGATCCTAATAAACTAAACCCCTAGTGGTACAGCTAAACACAACAGTCACGTGTCATTGTGAACTGGATGAAAGAAACAACATAGTCTGATCTTTTCAAATGATAACATATCAATATGGGTTAATGGCAGTTGACATACTTAGACTGTATTTTAACATTTATTTTTAACAACTGTTTTGAGTTGATTGAAAATTCAGTTGAATCCTACTGAAATCCTACTGCCCCTTTTAATTCCTGCCTGTCAGATTGGACTTTGTGATTCTAACAGAAGAAGTAGCGTGAATTTAGGTTAGTGTTTTTTTTGGGGGGTAGTTAGTGTGAATTTGTTTATCCAAACATATTTTGTTTTTGGGGATATTTTACTGCCCCGTACAGTAGGGAGCGGCAATACACTTAATGAGTGTAGTCGGCCAATAAACCTCAAAGAAGAAGAAGAAGAAGAATCCCTGACTGTTTGACGCGACTGCGCATGCTCAGCCATATACCCTGGTAACCTCCAACATGGCGGCGAGAGGCCATGTGCAAGACCCTAACGACCGGAGACTCAGACCCATTTACGGTAACAATTCGCAGAAAAACAGCACATTGTGTCTGGTTAGATGTTTTGTCAGTGTTTATCGACGTACCGGAGTGGTCGTCTGGTCAGTACCTTGTGTCCGGGACTCGGTGGGCAGTACCGCGGCCCCCGAACAAGTCCTAGCCCCGTTCTCAATTCACCTGCAGTGCTGAATGACAGTGCAACTTGAGTGGATGTCAGCACAATTCTGACAGCGCACACCTGCAGACCGTTTGCCCACCAATAATGCACAATGAGACCGCTTTGCTTTAAACGAAACCCCAAAAGAGTTTCAACGATCAGTCTCTCTCACTCGTAAAGTTCAGGTCTCCTATATTTGACAGCTAGCTAGCTACCGGTAAGCTACCTACAGCTAGCTAGCCACGTTAGTATGCAGAAACCGTGATGAATCTGAACCGTATTGCAAATAGTTTTGTATGTGGCAGAAATATCAACAGCTAACTAACGTTAGCTAGCTAGGTAGCTAGTTGTTCAGATACAGTACATTGGGGTGTATTATTAGTTACACAAATTGATCAGACACATTTTACCGTCCGAGCTAGCTCAGCTCGCTAGAAAAGGCTGCCACAGAGGGGCAAGACAAGATGTTCATGGTTGTGAACTGTGATGCCAACGTTAGCTAGTTAACTAGCTAGCTGGTTAGCTTGCTTTATTAGCGTGTGTTTGATTTCGTGCCTCACTCTGCTGATGTTAGCTCATTGGGTTATACAGATCAATGATCATGGCTAGCTAACGGTAACGTTATGTGTCAGATGGGCATAAGAGGATTAAGGTTGGCTAGCTTGATATGCCTGGTTGTGTTGATGCTGTAACGTTAGCCTCTGTTTTTGGCCATTCGATTACATTTTAGTGACGTGTTCCATCATACAGATAACTAGATCGTTAGATTTATATTAAAGACTGCTATAATAAACACTCACCATTGTTGAGGCTTCTCTTTCCTCTAAACTTTTCTCTTTCCTCAAAAGCTCTGCTAAAATCATGTTGATAATCACGTGACAGATGTTGTCAGTGAGTGGACAGTGAGCACACAATGAAAAATCTAGGGGAACTCGGTTCATGAGGAGTGTAAATGTAAGAGTGGAAAAAAATAAAATGGCCAACAGGAGACACAATTATTTTGGCCTAGCTGTCATTTGGGCTGATGGCGTAGTGTAGAGCACTGTGTCTGTCTGTCTGGCAGGGTTAATTTTGGCACCCAGCTGTCTAGAAGCCTATACTCCAAGCTTGCCCTGGGAAAGGGACTGTGTGTGTGTGCTCTGTTGTGATCCACAGGAGGACCACAGTGAGAGAGTTGTGTGTATCAAGGTTGCAAACAATGGCAGAGGTCAGAGACCGAATACACAGACACTGTCGGTTGGTCATACAAATAGATATTCTAATCTTGTCACGCTCTTGGGCACTCACACAAATACACACATGCCCAAACACCTCCACTCAAGACAGTACACATAGTGAACCACATAAACGCGCTCACACACACCACAGAATGTATTTGCATATTTAGTTTGTCAGACAGGCAGTGGCAGAATGCTGCAGTCTCAGCTGGTTTTAGAAAGTTACTCCTCTTGTTTTTTGTTCTCTTCTAAATATCAGGGCCATGAATATATTTTTCAAAGTCTCTCCCAGTTACTGTATTATTATTGTTGTCATGTCCTTCATACATCTTGAAAATGTCATTTTAGAAACTCTTTTTAGAGCCTGAGAATAGCTTTGGATGAATTATGTAAATCTGTGCAGGTTTTAAAAAACCGGTGGTTGCTGCGGCATCTTAGTACTCCATGAATGGTTTGTAGAGAAATAGAAGGAATAGCTCCTTTGTGTGGGACTTGACTGGGTGTGGCCGTGTGCGTCATGCTATGTACTGTATGGAGTAGGTTGACTGATGCTGTGATGTCATCTCCCATCAGACTACCTGGACAATGGCAACAACAAGATGGCGATCCAGCAGGCTGACAAACTGCTGAAGAAACACAAGGACCTGCACTGTGCCAAGGTTGGTGGGACTCTGGCTCTGGGCTATATTTAGGGCCCAAGATGGACCCCAGAGTTGTTCCTGGTCTGGTCCAAAACTGACCCCCTAGGCCCCTATCTAAAACCATACCACTAACATCTACTCCCTACCCCTATGATGATGATGGTGGCATGTTACTCAGGCAGATCTCCCTCTCCCCAGGTGTTGAAGGCCATCGGTCTGCAGCGAACAGGGAAGCAGGATGAGGCGTTTAGCCTGGCCCAGGAGGTGGCCACCCTGGAACCTACCGATGACAACTCACTACAGGCTCTCACTATACTGTACCGGGAGATGCACCGCCGTGAGTACACACACACACACACACAGAGAGAGAGATAACTCTATATGATCTTTTAGATGCTGTGACGGTGTTGACTCTCCCCGTCCCCTCCTCTCTCTCTAGCTGAGTTGGTGACTAAGCTGTATGAAGCTGCGGTGAAGAAGGTTCCCCTCAGTGAGGAGTATCACTCTCACCTGTTCATGGCCTACGCCCGCGTTGGAGAGTACAAGAAGATGCAGCAAGTCAGAATACACACACACACACACACACACACACAGTAATAACATGTAAACAAATGATGTATTATGCTACAGTAATTCATGTATTTTGTGTAGTTCTAACTAATGTCTCTTTCTCTCTGGCTGTAGGCAGGGATGGCTTTGTATAAGATTGTTCCTAAGAACCCATATTACTTCTGGTCTGTCATGAGTTTGGTCATGCAGGTAGGCATGGTCTCTCACTAGATATAACCAGTGGCCAGTTTATTAGGTACACGAAAATCGATCGCTCCTGCAGACAGTGAGTCACGTGGCCGTGGCTTGTTATATAAAGCCGGCAGACAGGCATCGAGGCATTCAGTTACTGTTCGATTGTACGTTAGAATGGGCAAAACAAGTGACCTTAGCGACTTTGAGCGTGATATGATCGTCGGTTCCAGGTGCGCTGTATCCAGTATCTCAGAAACGGCCGCCTTCCTGGGCTTTTCACGCACGACAGTGTCTAGGGTTTACAGAGAAAGGTGCGACAAACAAAAAAACATCCATTCAGCGGCAGTCCTGTGGGCGAAAACAGCTCATTGATGAGAGGTCGAAGGAGAATGGCAAGAATCGTGCAATGCTAACAGGCCGGCCACAAACAGACAAATAACGGCACATTACAACAGTGGTGTGCAGAACGGCATCTCGGAAGGGCTATTGTAGCAGACGGCCACACCAGGTTCCACTCCTATCAGCTAAAAACAAGAAGAAGATGCTCCAGTGGGCACGCGATCACCAACACTGGACAATTGAGGAGTGGAAAAACATTGCCTGGTCCGACGAATCCCAGTTCCTGTTGCGTCATGCTGATGACAAAGTCAGGAGTCCATGGCCCCATCCTGCCTGGTGTCAACGATACAGGCTGGTGTTGTACTGGGGTGGGAAATGTTTTCCTGGCACACGTTAGGTCCCTTGATACCAATTGAGCAATGATTGAACGCCATGCCCCAAAGCATTCAGGCCGTACTGGAGGCAAAGGCGGGGTCCGACCCTGTACTAGATGGCTGTACCTAATAAACTGGCCACTGAGTGTATATAGCTTGTGTGACTGACTCTGTATGTGTGACTCTGTATGTGTGACTGTGTGACTGTGTATGTGTGACTGTGTGACTTTGTATGTGTGAGTCTTTATGTGTGACTGTGGGTGGTTGTTTGCTTGCATGTGTGTAATTGCTCTGTGTGTTTCAGGCCATCTCTGCGCAGGATGAGAAGCTGGCCCAGACCATGTTCCTGCCCCTGGCTGAACGCATGGTGGAGAAGATGGTCAAGGAGGAGAAGATCGAGGCTGAGGCAGAGGTGCAGCTGTACTTTATGATCCTTGAGCGACTGGGGAAGTGTGTGGAGGCTCTCGACATGGTCCGAGGTCCACTGGGAGGTAAGAGTGGTGTGTGTGTGTACACAGAACAGAGATTGTGTGTGTTAGAGAGAGACCCAGAGAGAGGATTTGTGCAGCTTGTAGGTTGTGACTTATTCATGTCTTTCTACTCATTCTGTGTATGTGCATGGTTCCATAGAGAAGTTGACCAGTGAGTTGCGGAGCAGGGAGAATAAGTGTATGATGATGTACCAACGATTGCAGCTCTGGCCTGAATGCAACGCTCTGTCCTACAAGCTACTGCTCAAAAAGTGAGTACACACATATTCATATAAATAGTCACATTTATGCACATTCAGCATTTGTGTCTTAAAACTCTCCCCCACTAACTCCCTATCTTTCTCTCTCTCTCCTCTCTCCAGTCCTGATGATTGGCAGTTCTATCTCTCCTACTTTGACTCTCTCTTCCATCTGATGGACAAGTCCTGGAGCCAGCCTGAGGAAGGAGAGCAGTGAGTACTGTGTGTGTGTCTGTGTGAGTGAGAAAAGCTTATATAATAGCTGACTAGACTATTCCTCTTGATGGACGTTTTACGACGTCATGTAAGAGAAGACCAGATGGGCTGATCAAACAATAAATATAATCTGACTATCTCCTCTGCCTCCCCTCTCTCTTCACTCTCTCCTTCTCTCCCCCGCCCCTCCCTCTCTAGCTGTGTGGAGGGTCCAGTGCAGACCACGGTGGCGGAGGCAGTGAAGTTTGTGGTGGACAGGATGGAGGAGCAGGACCTGAAGGAGTCACGTCCTCTCAGAGGGCCCTACCTGGCCTGCTTGGAGCTCATACACAGACTGAGACAGAGGGGCTGTCCAGATGAGAAAGACCTAGGTACACACACACACACACACCACAGTTTCCTTGGCTGTTGATTGTTTGCATTGACCGTTTTGATTGGTTGTTGGCTTCAGGTGATCCGTTGGAGCTGATGGTTCAGTTCTTTGGGAAGTTTGGAGACAAACCCTGCTGCATTACTGACCTGAATATATACCTTCACCTTCTGCCCCCTGAGCAACGCTCACAGGTACACACACACACACATTCTCACCTGCAGAATACCACCAGTAGTGGGAGTTGATCACCAACCAAGCCCTTGATGAGTTTAATATGATAATATCCATTTTGCTCCTCTCCTTCCTTTCCTCCTCCCTGTAGTTTAAAAACCGTCTGGGGGAGTTGGTTCCGTTGGGGGAGGCGGGGGAGGATGGCTTTGGGTTTCCGGGGGATACGAAGGCGTTGCAGAGACACCTGTGTGTCTGTCAGCTGAGCCGGGCGTTGGGACTGCAACACGCTCTGGACACAGAGGGCAAGCTACGCCTCATCACAGAACTCAAAGCCCACTACCATCACGGACTACAGTTCGGTAAGAACAGCAGCACCCCTCTATCTCTCTCTCTCCTAATCCTTCTCTCTCGCTCTCACTACCACTATGTGGGTTACAATTTGGTAAGGGCATACATTCCTCTATATGTCTCTATCCGTCTTTATCCACCCCTCTCCGTCTATCCAACATTTTGTGCATCTAACTTAAAAACTGCTGGAAGAGATGCAATGCCAATTTTAGGAAGACCCAGAGAAATGGTTTGAGTCTGACTATAGTTAGTGTGTGTGTGTGTGTAACAGGGAAGTCGTGTCTGAAGACAGAGCTCCAGTTCTCTGATATGTACTGTCTCATGGCCGCTCACGTCTACATCGATCTCTGGACAGAAACTGGTGAGTCGCCACTCTCGCTTTCTCTCCGCCCTCTCACTTAATGTACGCTCTTTCATCTCTCTCCCTTTCTCTTGCTCTCTTTCTCTCTCTCCTTCTCTGTCTCCTCCTCTCACTGTCTCTGGGCATTTGTTAACAAACAAACATACAACTGTGTGTCTCTGTGTGTGTGTGTGTGTGTGTGTGTGTGTGTGTGTGTTAGGCGATGAGAACATGCTGTGGCAGTGTCTAGGTGTGTTAGAGGAGGGTTTGTCCTTCAGTCCCTCCAACGCTCAGTTCAAACTGCTGCTGCTGCTTCTCTTCTGTCGCCTGGGAGCCTTCCAGCCCGTAGTGGACCTCTACTCCAGCCTGGACGCCAAGCACGTACAGCACGACACCATAGGGTGGGTCTATAGTACACACGCATCACGATACAATAGGATTACCATAACCAATGCACTAATCCTTATATTCTCTCCCAGGTATCTGTTAACTCGTTATGCTGGCTCGTTGGGGCAGTTTGCTGCAGCCTCCCAGTCCTGTAACTTCTCCCTCAGGTTTTTTCACTCCAACCAGAAAGATGTGAGACCCTGTCGCATCTAAATATGTCATAAATATGGAATATATTCTGATGATGTTCCCCTAGTCTTTTCTCACCTCTGTCCTCCTTCCTCTTCTCATTTCTCTCCTTCTCCCCCAGACCTCAGAGTACATCATCCAGGCCTATAAGTATGGAGCGTTTGAGAAGATCCCAGAATTCATAGCGTTTAGAACCCGGCTCAACCAATCGCTGCACTTCGCTCAGGTCCGCACAGAGAGGATGTTACTGGACCTGTACACCGAGGCTGACGTGTTAGTACACACACACACACACACACACACACACACACACACGCACACACACACACACCTGTAACATATTCCTGTTTTGTTCCAGCACATCGAGTCTAGAGGAGAGTGTGAAGGCTATGGGTGTGTGTCCTGAGGAGGATGACATTCCCTGGGACAACATGAGAGACAACAGAGACCTGACTGTCCTCGTCAGCTGGGACCCCAAGGACAGGTACACACACACATACCAAGGACTTTTTATTTATTTTATTTTTTATTTTATTTCACCTTTATTTAACCAGGTAAACCAGTTGAGAACAAGTTCTCATTTACAACTGCGACCTGGCCAAGATAAAGCAAAGCAGTGCGATAAAAACAACAACACAGAGTTACATATGGGGTAAAACAAAGTCAAAAATACAACAGAAATACATATATATACAGTGTGTGCAAATGTAGCAAGTTATGGAGGTAAGGCAATAAATAGGCTATAGTGCAAAATAATTACAATTAGTATTAACACTGGAATGATAGATGTGCAAGGGATGATGTGCAAATAGAGATACTGGGGTACAAATGAGCAAAATAAATAACAATGTAGGGATGAGGTAGTTGGGCGGGCTAATTTCAGATGGGCTGTGTACAGGACTTCAGATGGACTTGTATCAGTGTTTCTCCTACAGTCATTTAGCTGTGGTGCTGCGCCACGGCAAAATCATTGCAGCCACGCCACCAAAATATGGAACATGGAAAAATATATTTCTGCCAAGGTGTACTTTGAAGATGCTAAAACAGTCCACAGACTTTTCCTCTGCAAACAAAATGAGTAATGAATAGAAAAACCAGACAACCCCATAGTAGAATAGTTTATCTATTTACCTAGTCATCTTGATGTGCGTTCTATTCGAGATAAATATTCCTCTCAAGGCACATTCAAGTTGCGAGTGCCATATATGCATTCTGACAAGAAGTCAATGCACAACAATTCATAATAGAATCATGGGGAAAACAGTAGTTTTAATGGCCTTTGTTAAAATAGGGGGATCCAAGCTTTCCATTCCTACTTTATTTATCAACTCCTAAATATGCGTGAACTGCAGTATTTTAAACCCAGTTTTTAGATGTTGCCTGGTTAAGCATGTTACCATGTGGCAATTAGCAGTGAGTGCATAGGGGAGAGTGGTGCTCAATGTAACACGGGTGAAAACGCCACCCTACCTCAAAATAATTTTTGGGGAGTGACTTAAAAAATTGTGATGAGACAGATTACATTTTTAGTCGAGCAAGAGTAGTGACATTGAGAAGTACAGGTAGGTTACGTTTTACCCCATGTTACCCTAACAGGTAGGCCTACATTATATTCACTGTTTTTATGCCAGTTTTGTGGGACATAAAATGAATCATTATGATGCTAACTAGTTAACAGATCACATTTGGGATCTAGCTAATGATTAGCTCAATGGGGTAGATGCAGATAGGCAACCCCATGCTTCAGCCTATTTATTTATAGCCACTATGCTGCTATCAGTTGAGCTACAGGTGATAATGCTTATGCTAGCATACCTGATAATATGGACCATGCATAGGCTATATGCATGGTCCAATATGTGACAATAATTGTAGTAACAAATCATTTTACCAATGTGTTATTGGGCTAATTTCTGGAGATGGAAATTATATTTTATATGGTGTCATTATAATAACATTTTCATTCATTTTGGAGTAGAATGTCCTTTTAAAAAGTCACCTGAACTGAGCTTCTCAGTCCTTCTACATAAAAATGATCTGTGGGGGGGAGCCCGGACCCCGAAAACGAGGGGGAGAGACAACCCCTTAAACCCCCCTCCATGAAGGTTTCCCCCACTGCTATAATTTTTTGTAGAGGAAACACTTGACTTGTATAACACGTTATTTGTTGACGTCACATTTCACATATGTCATTCTGTGAAAACGACAGTTAATTGTGTGTGTGTTCCAGGGAGCTGACTGAGGAGCATCGTCGTCTGTCTCTAGAAGAGGAGTCCGTCTGGTTGAAGGTTCGCTCTCTCACACTCCGCCTCCTCGCCTCATTGGCTCTGCTCGGACATGCCCCCTCGCCACGGAACTCTGATAAGACCAATGAGAACGGTATATCGGCCAAAAGCTCCACCCTCCAGACCCTCCTCTCCCAGCTAGATCAGACGCTAGAGACCGCAGCCCAGATCACAGAGAAACAGACACAGGTACACACACTAATATATAATGTAATATATGCTATTTAGCAGACGCTTTCATCCAAAGGGACTTATAATTGGTGCATACATGTTCATATGGGAGGCCCCAGCAGGAATCAAACCCACGACCCTGAAGTTGCTAGCGCCATGCTCTTACCAACTGAGCCACACAGGACCACTAACTGTTGTTGTGTTGTTCCAGTACCCGTTCCTGGGCCCTCCCTCCTCCCGCCTGGCCTCTGCTCTGTCTAGTGGCAGCTGTCACTGTCAGGTCTCTGCTCTGCAACTATCACTGACTCTACGAGAACTAGAGACCACTGGACTGGGTAAGACAGGGAGATGAGGGGAGATGGGGGGGGGGGGGGGGATGGAGAGAGAGAGAGGGATGTAGGGTCCCCTACCACTTGCCTCAACCGTCTGTCCATCTACAGGAGCAGGAGGACTGGGAAGGAGAGGGAGATGGGAGGGAGAGTGGGTGGGTGGCTAGAGAAGGTGTAATGGAGAGGGGAAGAGGAGAAAGGATGGATATCTTTGTCATGCTCTTTATTCTATTTCTTTTTCTCTCAAGACGACTCATCGGAACTCCAAACCCAGATCTGTAACACCTTCAAATCATTAGTAGTACAACTCCAAGGTAAGCCATCACAGACATCTTTGTTAAAGATGACAAAATGTCCACGGTAATAATGACTGTCTAGTCAGCCACAGGAGATGTCATGGCTTCAGATCTCTAGTCGAGTTATCACTAGTGTAGTGGATCATTCTTATTCCCCATGCTGATCTGTGCCCCCCCCCCCCCCCCCCCCCCCGTCCCCCCCCCGTCCCCCCCCCGTCCCCCCCCGTCCCCCCCCGTCCCCCCCGTCCCCCCCCCCAGAGATGTTATCCAGATGTAAAGGAGAAGTGTTGGAGATGAAAGACAGCAGATTGAAGACCCAACCCTCCCTATTAGAAACACTGGTCTTCTTCGTGGAGGTCAGCGTATTACACGTATAGTCACGCTAAATATACATCAGTAATACTTCACTAAAATGTAAAGGTATTATAATATGAAACATGCAGATGCACAGCAATACGTGGTGTGTGTGTCTCCTGGTCAGACGGTGTGTGTGGTGCTGTGGGTGGCCAGTTACTCTGCCAACGTACTGCGACCGCTCAAGTCCAGTCTACAGAAGAAGAAGAAGAAGAAGAAGGACATCAACACAGCCATGGTACACAGTTTCTACCGTCTCATCCTTACCTTTGTGCTCCTACAACCCTTCTCTGGCATGACCCCATCAGTTTTCACACCATACTAGGGGTGTGAATGTTTAAATGTTCAAATATTTAAATGAAATTGGGATTCTTAATGTTAAGAAAAGTCCCAAACTGAAAAACAATGTTATTTAGTTTTTTCCCCCACAAAATTAAAATAGCATTGCAGTTGCAAAAACATATTATTTTCTGTGTTAAAGCCTAACTAGACGATAGGCTATAAAGGTCTGGGGAAAGTTGTCATTTAAATAAAACCAGGGAGGAAGAGTTGGACTTTAGACTACTTTGGTGAATGTTTTCCATAGTCATTACGCCTTTTTCTGTTGCAAAACATTTCTTAAACGGAAGCAAACTAAACAAGGCGGGACCTACCTGCATTTGTCCAATAGAAACTCTTGTTTTAGTGGCAAAATGTTTTGCAACTGTTTAGACTAATGATTACACCCATGCTCTTTCTCTTCGCTAATGATGCGAGTGTGTTCAGTCTTCGGTCTGTTGCGTGTAGAATATCCTAGCCTGTTCATTGATGAAAGGCCCTGCTTTACTGAAGTTGCGAGATACAGCATTCCATTGTGAGATACAGCTTTTAATTACCGATAGATAGGCCTAGTGCACGGTTCTGACTGTCTGCCTGGTGGCTGACCTGCCTATACTGTGCCCCTCCCCTCTCTCGCCAGCCCTCGCTTGCTCGCTATGAAAGATGTGAGTGTTCTCGGAAGTACAGCAACTAATGTCAACTCTGTTCCAAAAATACTGAATCTTAGGAGTCGATTACTAGCGGAATCGAATCTTGACACAGAAATGGTAGTCGACACTGTGAGTCCGACGTGCAAGGAGTCGAGGAATCAATTATTTTGGCGTTGACATTCCACCACTACCTACTCATCAATAATAGTTGGCAATGCAAATAGTCTGGGTAGCCATTTGATTAGATGTTCAGGAGTCTTATGGCTTGGGGGTAGAAACTATTTAGAAGCCTCTTGGACCTAGACTTGGCGCTCAGGTACCGCTTGCTGTGCGGTAGCAGTGAGAACAATCTATGACTAGGGTGGCTGGAGTCTTTGACACTTTTTAGGGCCTTCCTCTGACACCGCCTGGTATAGAGGTCCTGGATGGCAGGAAGCTTGGCCCCAGTGATGTACTGGGCCGTACGCACTACCCTCTGTAGTGCCTTGCGGTCGGAGGCCGAGCAGTTGCCATACCAGGCAGTGATGCAACTAGTCAGGATGCTCTCGATGGTGCAGCTGTAGAACCTTTTGAGGATCTGAGGACCCATGCCAAATATTTTCAGTCTCCTTAGGGGGGAATAGGTTTTGTCGTGCCCTCTTCACGACTGTCTTGGTGAGCTTGGACCATGTTAGTTTGTTGGTGATGTGGAAACCAAGGAACTTGAAGCTCTCAACCTGCTCCACAATAGCCCCGTCGATGAGAATGGGGGCATGCTCAGTCCTCTTCTTTTTCCTGTAGTCCAATCATCTCCTTTGTCTTGATCACGTTGAGGGAGAGGTTGTTGTCCTGGCACCACACGGCCAGGTCTCTGACCTCTTCCCTATAGGCGGTTTCATCGTTGTCGGTGATCAGGCCTACCACTGTTGTGTCATCGGCGAACTTAATGATGGTGTTGGAGTCGTGCCTGGCCATGCAGTCATGAGTGAACAGGGAGTACAGGAGGGGACTGAGCACGCAACCCTGAGGGGCCCCCGTGTTAAGGATCAGCGTGCCGGATGTGTTGTTACCTACCCTTACCACCTGGGGGCGGCCCATCAGGAAGTCCAGGATCCAGTTGCAGAGGGAGGTGTTTAGTCCCAGGGTCCTTAGCTTAGTGATAAGCTTTGAGGGCACTATGGTGTTGAACGCTGAGCTGTAGTCAATGAATAGCATTCTCACATAGGTGTTCCTTTTGTCCAGGTGTGAAAGGGCAGTGTGGAGCGCGATAGAGATTGCATCATCTGTGGATCTGTTGGGGTGGTATGCAAATTGGAGTGGGTCTAGGGTTTCTGGGATAATGGTGTTGATGTGAGCCATGACCAGCCTTTCAAAGCACTTCATGGCTACAGACGTGAGTGCTACCAGTCGGTAGTCATTTAGGCAGGTTACCTTAGTGTTCTTGGGCACAGGGTCTGCTTGAAACATGTTGGTATTACAGACAGGGAGAGGTTGAAAATGTTAGTGAAGACACCTGCCAGTTGGTCAGCGCATGCTCTGAGTGCACGTCCTGGTAATCCGTCTGGCCCTGCGGCCTTGTGAATGTTGACCTGTTTAAAGGTCTTACTCACATCGGCTACGGAGAGTGTGATCACACAGTTGTCCGGAACAGCTGATGCTCTCATGCATGTTTCAGTGTTACTTGCCTCGAAGCAAGCATAGAAGTAATTTAGCTCGTCTGGTAGGCTCGTGTCACTGGGCAGCTCGCGGCTGTGCTTCCCTTTGTAGTCTGTAATAGTTTGCAAGCCCTGCCACATCCGACGAGCGTCGGAGCCGTTGTAGTACGATTCGATCTTAGTCCTGTATTGATGCTTTGCCTGTTTAATGGTTCTTCGGAAGGCATAGCGGTATTTCTTATAAGCTTCCAGGTTAGAGTCCCGCTCCTTGAAAGCAGCAGCTCTACCCTTTAGCTCAGTGCAGATGTTGCCTGTAATCCATGGCTTCTGGTTGGGGTATGTACGTACAGTCACTGTGGGGACGACATCATCGATGCTCCTCAATGCCATCGGAAAAAACCTGGAACGTATTGCAGTCTGTGCTAGCAAAAAGTCCTGTAGCTTAGCATCTGCTTCATCTGACCACTTTTTTTATTGACAGAGTCACTGGTGCTTCCTGCTTTAGGTGAAATTGAGGTACAGTAATGGTAGTACAGCTGCAATGCTTAACTATCTGAAAGGGACGCACCTTGAGTCCCAAACCGTTGCTGGCAGCAGCATTGTGAATTTGCATTTTATGAAATGTTCTTATCGTTTTAACAGAAAAAACCCCAAAAGGCAGTTTAAGCATTTTTTTATATTTTTATTCACATCCCTACACCATAGCCATTCACGCAATAGCTCTCTGCCCCCTCCGTCTGTCCCTATAGCCAGTGGTGCTGTGTGGCTTCCAGGAGTGGACAGGCAGCCTTCAGGGCATTGTGACCCAGGCTCTGGATCACGTGAAGGGGCAGGAGGCCAGCCTGACGGCCCTCAAACTAGCAGCACTCACCCTGGAGGAGGGACACTCGCAGACACAGGTTGGTAGGGCTGGGTGTGTGTATGAATGATTGATTTGTGCCTAAGCATTGGCTTAGTTTCTTAGTTCAAAGCTTCTTTCTGTTCTTTATTCCCCCCCCCCCCCCCCCCTTCTCTCTCTATTCTTTATCCCCCCCCCCCCCCCCCCCTTCTCTCTCTATCTGTACCTCTACCCTCTCTTTCTGGCTGTCTCTCTATCTGTACCTCTACCCTCTCTTTCTGGCTGTCTCTCTATCTGTACCTCTACCCTCTCTTTCTGGCTGTCTCTCTATCTGTACCTCTACCCTCTCTTTCTGGCTGTCTCTCTATCTGTACCTCTACCCTCTCTTTCTGGCTGTCTCTCTATCTGTACCTCTACCCTCTCTTTCTGGCTGTCTCTATCTGTACCTCTACCCTCTCTTTCTGGCTGTCTCTCTATCTGTACCTCTACCCTCTCTTTCTGGCTGTCTCTCTTTCTTTCCCTCTCTCGCTCCCAGGAGGAGTGTGGGTTTACGAGGGCAGCCATGGACAAGGTTCAGAGTAGTTATCTTGGCTCGCTGCAGGAGCTGGGAGATCTACTGAGGAAGAGAGCTGATTCGCTGATTCGCCTCAAGATCTGACCCGCAACAACCATCACCATACTCAACTATCACCATTATCATCTAACTCCACCCACATCCAAAGCCTTCTCCCCCTGCTCCTCTCAAAAGGAGGGCTGCCTGCCACCAACACACCCTCTTTCACTTCATCCCCCTACCCTCTCCTTTTCCACATATCCCTCGCTCTGTGTGTCTCTTTATGGAACACAGGACTCTCCTCTCCCTACATCTCTCACCCTGAGAACCATCACTGCTCTCGCTCAGCACAGAACCACAGATCTTGTTCAGTTTATGTGATAACATCACAGAGAAGCTCCTCAAAACATACTACAGCAACAGACAAACGAAATAAGCAATTTTAGAAGAACTACTCCAATAATTGATTAATAATTGATAGTCCGCAGATTACAGAACATCAACTACCATAGCAACATCAACTCATTGACTGAACGTGAATGAAGTGAGATAAGGGGAAAATGTGGCTTAAGTTTTTTTCTCCAGTCTGTTTCCATGGTGAAACCCAGTTAGATTAGAATATATAACCTCCTGTTTTCCATATTGGACTCCTCACTCCCCCAGCCTGATCGGAGTGCCCAAACATGGACACTGTTGTCAATCACACTCTTCTGCTCATAAGAACAAATAGGGTGGACATGGTGCTTAGCTTACTGTATGAAAACAAGGACAGCTGAACATGTTTTTTAGCGAATTGTACACGCAAGGAAAGCTGAACGCTGGGCCAACTCGGAAAAGCCTCTGAACTGTTTGTTTCAGGAGTGCACAACTCCAGTGCTCGATGGCTGCAGTGATTTCAGGCCTTGCCTTTTAGCCAGCAACCTGAGAAACCAGCAGTGTGCGCTTTTCTACGGGCAACCAGTGACTGAATGGGTCAGTAAAGAGCTGGGAGAACTGAAGACAGCCCTGGTGGACTTGGTGTGTACCTCTGGTGTGGTGCACCCTTGGTTAATTAATCTCCCTGCTCCCCACCAATCAATGCCCGTCTGATTTCAGTCCTCCCTTTTAACTTGGTCGTTGTGTTCTTTGTTTTCCCCACTTTATTTTTTATTTCAGTTTTACATTCTTTTCATTTGTTTGAAACCCCCTCTGTAGTTATTGGAAAGCCAAATAAAAAAAGCAATCACGGGACAAAGTTACAATACCTGATTATACATTCAGTAGTTACATGTATTTGCAAATGCTTCTTTTTGTATTCTGTGTCAGTGCAAAGAAGTATATTTGTGTGTGTAGCTCGCCTGGTTTAGGTAACACCTACAGAGTGGATGGTTTGTTTTAACGTCGTAGGAGAAACCTGACAGACATAGTTCTACCTGTTTATTCAGAGAAATTACTATATCAAACAGTATCTGGGTAGAAACTGTTCTCTCTGACAACGGATCAAACCCAAAGTTAAGATATCTAAATGTAAAGGAGACAAGACAACCAACCTGTCAGATTGCAATGAAGATGGCAAATGTTCTTCGTTGTTGAAAAGCCCCAGTAGAATAGTATCTCTCTCTCCTATCTTGTCAACGGTTATGAGCTGCACTGAATCCCCCACAATTAATTTCACTAACCAAAATTGCCACTGTCAAAACATCCTGTCAGTGTGTATGTAACTATAATGGCATTTTAACTGATAGCTACAGCTAGACCGATATCATGCAGGGAGAGGAGACTTGTATCTGACAGACATGTTCAGTAGTAATGTGGACCTTTCAGATAAAAATGCATTGTGTTGAACAGACATGTCTAACATGTAGAGTAAGGAATTATGTCCGTGCTACTCATGACATTTCTATCTGCAACATTCATTAGTACTATGTTGTACGACCCTGAGTGAGGCAGACGAAACTAGCAGACATGTTTACAGCCACGACCACCAGGGGGCACTGAAAGACTATCAACTGCAGGCAGCAGACTGACTAATACTGAAGTATACACTTTGGCTTAGAGTTTGATTTGTAGGTTGAGTTGAGCTTTTCTTTCTTTAAACAAAACATGGATGAAAGGGGAGCAATGGTGATGAACAGTTTGATCCTCCTACAAACACAATGCACCCCTCAAGATGACCTTTGGACGACTCGTGCCCAAACCCCCGGACGGATGGACCCTCTCTAGAGGGTTAGTGGACTGAGTAGAACTTATGTTGAGGTGCAGAGAAGTGGTCGACAATCTGGAGTGTTCTCACCTGATACCCAGTCTCTTTCTTTTGGTAGAAAATGGAAAACAAAAAACACTGGAATGTCAAAAGGAGACACATATATATATATATATATATAAAATGAATGAATATAGCAGTTTTGTTTGTCTTGTATCAATGTTGTCTTACCAAAAATATTGAGTAGGCTATTAACTATATCAACCACAATTTTAAGAGCATGATGTCAAATCAACAGCACATAGCGGGGTGGAGTTTTGTTCAAATTTTATTAGATATTCTGTTAAATTCCATTGTCTAGACCTTGCCACAGCTCAGCAGCTGTGAAACAAAATATTAACATTTTACATTCACTACTAAATTCCCATGAATTTTACCTTATGATCAGAAAATATTTTTTTATTTCAAGGGAAATGAACAGTAGATTTTGCAAGTGCTTGGTCATGATGATGAGACCGATACAGTATGTTATGGACTGTCTCTAAGGCCCTATTCAATCTATCGCTGAAGCGTTACATATTCCTTGATAGAAATCTAAAGGTAATTTTCAATTGAGCCGACATATGCAGTGTTTACCATAAATGCAGTCTCTGCTAACACGGGAACATTGCCTTTAAATTTCAAATCTTGCCGTAATGCTGAACTTCCACGATACGGATTGAATAGAGCCCTAAGGCCAGTGTTTCTCAATTCATTCCTGGGAGGATCCACAGAGGTGCACGTGTTTGTTCCAGCCCAGCACTAACGCACCTGATTAAACTAATCAGTGGCTTGGCGATAAGTAGTTGAATCAGGTGTTCGTGCTGGGATAGAACAAATGTGCGCACCCCCTGCCAGGAATGGATTGAGAGACACTGCACTAGGCCTCTCTAACCCCTCCCCTCACAGTCATACCCTGGTTGACATTACTGGTATTTCTATAAACACTAACCCACATCATTTGCGACAAATATGGGTCACATTCGACCCAATAGACAATGATCCAACAGGAATGGCTAAAATCTAAAAGACAAAACATTAAATAAAGGAGAAACAATACAATGGCCAAAGAAAAAAATAATATAGAACTTCTCCGTTTCACTTAATAGTGTCTCACTCCAAGGGTTCATGACCCTGGAGATCAAAATCTAAAACAATATCATAATGGGAATAATATCATAATCTTCAGTTAGTTTAAATAGAGATACTTATATATCCTTATCTGTTAATGCTGCAGCAGGTAGTTACATGGTCTGGATTGCGCCAATGGAGAATGTTTTACTGTAAATGTTTCTGCACTAAAATATTGTCTTTGCATACTTAAGAGACATTCATTATCTCAGACACATTGACTGTACATTCACGGAGGTAATACAAACTACAGTATTGATGAAAGCCATGGGGGCGGATTATAAATTACCACAGTCACAGATCTAGGATAAGACTATTCTCCAATCCTAACCTTAGCAGGAAAAAAACTAATCTTTTGAAGCAGTCTGAACAGCACACTGATCTGAAATCAAGCTGGCCAAGAGTATTATACCCTATTTACGGTATTGTGCTGCGAAAAGTAGTGCACTACATAGGGAACAGGGTGCCATTTGAGCCAGCGCCCTGCTGTATATAATTACAGTACTGTGAGACAGACAGGAGGTCGTCTACAGTAGACCTGACCATGTTGTATAATCATCAATAGGAAATAAAAGGACAGTCAACACTACAGTAGTAGAACTAGCCTGGTAGTACCACATGCCATGTCTTTCTGTTCCTCCTACAGGTAACGGTGTAGCAGACCTGGGTATCATCTATCAAATACTTCAAAGTATTTAAAAACCCGCCACCAAAGTCTAGCTCTCGCCCCAATGTCATTAACACGCGACGTGACCCCAAGTAGGCAGAAAGTAAAGGGGTATGAAGGAGGTACTAGATACAGCTGATCTAGCGGCACTCTTGGGGCCAAAAATGTAGGAAATGTTTAAAACCTTAACACATTAAAAAGGGAAATGACGACAACATACATGATCAAAAGGACAGCAATGCAACAACAAACACAGCAAAAAACACATACAAGAATCGTATAAGTATGCCAAACCACTCGATCACAATCCTTATCTGTTAGACAGATGTTTGCTGCCTGGGACAGCGGTGAGAGGAGGGAGGACAGTAGAACAGCACGACAAATAGAACTACAATTGCCCAAGAGGATTTACAAAACCCTTTACAGTATACACACTCACTCTTCATCATCAGTTATAGTAAAATAGAAGCTAGGTTGCCCTGGGACAGCCCAGACCTCTTGTTAAAACCAGAGGTCAATTCCATTTCAATTGAGTCCATTCAGGAAAACCATTGAAAGTCCAATCCAAGAAATGACATGTTTAAATTGGAATTTCTGGTTGACGTCCTTAAAAGGACTGAGTTGAAGTAGACCCGGCCCCCAGCCCTGGTATTGAAGCCCTAGTTTACAGGAAAGGGGTGCAGCCACAGCGCAAGGATAGTTTACAACAGGCTCGATCAGGTAGTAGCGAGAAGCATAGCTGTGCCAAAACCACTCAGAAGCAGCATCCTAAACACACACACGCATACACAACTACATATGTAGACATAGTTGTGTCCACTGAGGATCCTAACCCTCTCTCGTTTGGACACACTCTCCCTAATGTCAGAGTAGGGAGACATCTGAACGCACATGCACTGCCAGTCACTGTGGGTTGCAGTTGTACACATGTACTCACGTGTGTGTGTGTGAGTGAGTGAGAGACTGGCTTATATTGTAAGGTAGCAAAGGATAATCAAGCCATGCAGAAACATCACATGTTCTATGAGCAATAGCCACAGACATGGGTCAAATCAAATCAACAACTGTCCCCCAGCCACCGGTCAGACAGACAGGACAGAGACCAGGGGTTTAAGTGCTTAATCTACATCCCAAATGGCACCATATTCAGATCCAGCGCTCTGGCCAGAAGTAGTGCACTTTATGGAATAGGGTGCATTTTGGACGCATTTCAAGTTTGCACACCACTACAACTCGGATAAGGGTTTATACGGACCTTAGTCTCAGGAGGGGGAAGAAACAAGTATGAAACCAACCAGAGCCATGGCAGAATGACAGATACAGTATCATAAAACAGGGAACAAAATACATGAGAAAACAAAAACAAAATTGGTCCAATACCTGTTAATGAATTATCTTATTCCAATTTTTGGGGAAATTATAACATACCAAGAACTGTAATATAACAAATAACATTCTTATCTGTTTAAAAGGCTTGGCTTTCTGTGTCTCTGGATACAAACAAAGCCCATCTTATAATGAACTAACAATTACATTTACAGGCAATTTAATTTACCTTCTGTGCAAAGAGTTTAAATTTTTTAAATCTTCTTTAAAATGCGAAACCGCTTTTTGTTTTTCTGTGTAAATAGGAGGCATGTGATTGCGGGTCAGTACAATAATATTGACCAATCAGGACAAACCCCCCTATGAATCATGGGAGACAGGAAGTAGAGCAGAGACTTCCTCTTCTCTGTGGGCATGGTGACATCATCATCATGAAAGGGTTTTGTTGGTCAACCTCACTGCTCGTGAGCCGCACTCATGCCTCGAACCTGACCTGACTTACGCAGCTGGGGCAAGAAGGAGAGAGAAAGAACAAAAGAGGGGGGGAGAAAGAAAATAGATAAAAATACTGAAGGTGTTACAGTACCCCCTGAAGGACAAGAGTGTCTGTGATATGAGACTGAGTTGATGGAGGAGTGAACAGCTTTTGTCTTTCCATCAAATGACTATTGCCTGGTTCATATAATGTAGCTACACCTAAACTTCCTACACTGTCAATGTTCAGTTCATGAAATACAGAAGAGCATTTCCCCTTTACTAGCAGTCACTTCACTTCACAGCACATCAACCCATCTCCATCACAGTGAAAACTCTTATCCTCCTCTTTCCACATTACAGATAATTCCCTATTTAGGCAACATGACATGCAGAAAGATGGCAGACAGCAACAGGGTAGTAGCGCTGCCCCAACACCTGGAACCACACACATAAAACACACACACTGAACAGACCATGTTAGTTAGACTGCAAGTGGACAAACAAATGGAGGTAAGGAGGATAAGTCGTCACGCAGCAGAGCGAGAAGGAACGCAAGGCAGGCGTGATGGAAAGAGGAAGAAACAGAATGGGACAGCCACACAGAGACAGAGCCAAAACCACCATAGACAGAAGGACAGACTGAACCAGAATGTTTGATTAGACTGGCAACATGCAGCTGCCAAAAAGTGGAGAAATAAAACAGGCGATGAGCAACATAAACGAGGGTGGGGGTGGGGGGGGGGAAGATACAATGAAGATGAGTGCAGGCCCGAGATGCGTCCACAACACCACGATGATGTCATTTCCTGTGTCCTGTCGGAGAACTCACTCAGCCTGCCTCTGACCTTTGACCTACAGGGGCGGGGCTACTCTTCCGAGGTTGCCGAGGTTCCTCGCACGGTGCCCTTCTCACGCATCTAAAGGCAGCAGAGTAGAACTGTCAGTTTGACCCTCCTATGGAGCTCGGATTGGTCCAAGGTTAAGGTTAGGGCCTTAGGGGTTAGTGATGGTCACGGTCAGTCTTAGAGAGGTGATTTGTTGTTTATTGTGGTTCCTGATCCCTTAATGTCTCTGGAATCAGGTGTTAGTTACCTCCTCATCGCCATAATCATAAACATAGAAATAAGTCTCCCCATCTATGAACCACAAAAAAATACAAGCACTTTCTCAAACTCTAAGGCACAAGTCTAAAACCTACGAAACAATGGCAGACATTAACTGTCTTACCTCTTCCAGCTCTTTCTTGGTCTCCTCCTCCATTCGTCGGATGTCCGCCATGGTCAGCTCCACCCAGTTGTCGATCCAACAGAACAACTGGCGATGGAAGTTAGTGAAAATACGCTTCTCTTGCTAAAAGAGGGAGGAGAGAGGTGGAGGGAGGAGAGAGGAGGGAGAAGAAAAGAGAGGAGAGAGAGATCAGAGAATGACAATATTAGGCATCAGTCTGTTCTCTCATTAGAAGCCCTAAAAGCAATGGGAAAAGGATAAAACAGAGGGAGATAAAAGCGTTGTACCTTGTGGATGAAGTTCTCTACTTTGGTCTGCAGGCCCCACCACTTGAACTTGACAGTGACCAGTTTGTAGGCACACATCTTAGGACAGTCGGTCTTGTTCATCAGATCGTTCTGTCAGAGGAGAAACCCAGGAAGGATGACGAGGAAAAATGTCAAATTACATTTTCTACTATGTTGATTTTGGGCCAGTAACGTGCAGCAACACAAACGAGAGAAGCATCGTACTGTGTCTTAACCCTCTTCTAATGAGGTCAAAGGTCAACATGACCAATTACCACAGACAAGACAGGAGGGAGTCTAAATGGTTGAGATGGATGATAGGTGAAATCCTGTACCTTCCATTCAGGTGAGAGTGGTCCTCTGCCTGTCTTTGTAGATTTGAACAGAGCAGGGTCCTCCTCTGGTTTATAGTCCTGTAGGAGAGAACAACATACATTATACAACATGCATCCTGAAAACAACATATAGACATTACACCCCATTATAGCCCTGCAGGAGTGAACACGCACACAGGGAAACTATTGAAATGGAGCACTAATGTACATTAAGAATAGTATCTGGAATGAAACTGCTACCATATTTCTTGCGGTTCACAAGTATGTGGATGGAATGACGATCTGAGGAACTGGGAGATCAACGCAATTCCCTTATGATGCAGGAAAGCCACACACAACCACAGGCTCTCCCCTAGTCCCTATTTTGATCTGTCAGACCTGTGTGTGTGTGTGTGTGTGTGTACCTGCAGCAGATGGCCCTTCAGATTAAACTGTGGCCCTACCACTGATCCACTTATGTCATTAGACTACAGGAGCCACTGCTATAGTACATGCTCTCACTGTCCTGAGTGTTCAGTCAGTACTGTCCAGGAGAGACTGACACTCCATACATGGTAAGCCCACCAGATAGAGAAGCTCACTCCCATACTGTCTCTCAACTACAGTGCTTTGGGGTCCTGCACTGTGGCTTTTGGGTGGGAGGAAGGATGATTACACAGACTTATAGCAACAATACGTCATGTCAGCAAGGTGATGTGTAGATCAGAGTTTCTACACAGCGTCTTCCGCAGGCCCATTTTCTGGCAGACAGGATAAAGTGTCATCTCTTGTGGATAGATGCACGTAACATAAAATGGTAGTAACATCTGTTGACAGACTGTGGGATGCGACGACTAAAAAGGATTTCTTGTCACTGATTATTTGGACAAACCACGATTTTGAAGGTGCTCGCACCTTACGAATTTCAGAAGGGGAGGGGACGTTCGGCCAATAGACTTGCCAGAAACTGGCTGAGAGATTCCGGTTAGAGGGGTGAGAATTCGGTAGCCTTGTTAGTATATTTTCTAACACGTCTCCCCGAGAACTTAAATCGAGCATTAAGCAAGATTTTAGTTCTGGGTGTTCAAGTTTAGACTAGCACACAGCCAGTCAACATGCAATGACACAACTCATCCACATGGGGGAGACAAATACATTGATGACGTAACCATCAGTGCCTGGGTCAGGGGTGCTGTACTGGGACAGATTATTTTACCACCCGGGAAGAGAGCCATCTTGATGTCACTGATCTAAGATGGCTGATGAGTGGTTAAAAACTCACGGCTTTAACCAATACAGTCATGTCAGGTCTGACGAGCAAGAGGACGAATATTCGTGAGTGAGTGAGTGTGTGTGTCCACTCACCCCATGGGCCACCACATCTTTGTCTGCGATATCAATGGGGACCACTTCCACTGTCTTCCATGTAGGACCATCCAAGTCATGCACGTTTTCTAGCGTTCCCATGTCAGGTTTGTGCCACGTCTCAATCTTTATCAGGAAGTCATCTTTCATATACTCGTTCTAGAAGGAGTGAAGAGAGAAAGGAGAAGTGAGCAAAGAAAGGATAGAAAAATCTAATCTCTGTTCATGTTTTCATCGAGTCTCGCAAAGCGTAACTGAATTCTAGATGATGTGGGTCGGGGCGGCAGTCATATTGGGTGTACCATTCCAAATGTTTGATTAGTTGTTGCTTATGGATTCTGTGGTAGGAGGAAAACCCATTACTACACTTCCTCTGTACAGTAGCCTTAAAACGTCAGCCAACGGCAAGCTTGAGAATGCCTTGAATAGAGAACCAGTGGGAATCTCTAATACTGAGAAAGCCTTGAATGGCGTTCTGGGAGGCCTGAGGCCTATTTAAACCGCTAAGCTAATTAACTGATTAGCTGTTTGGGCTGAAACGACACGTCTGGTTAGTGAACTTCTGCACTCTGCCTAACTAACTGTGGCATGCTAGTATTAGCAGCATAGTTAGCTACACACCACCACGCTATTGAAGTCACATTAATGGGAATGAGTGTCTCAGATCCATTCACACAACAAAACTACCCCACACAGACAATGGCAAGAGTCTGGGGAACATGGTGTGTGTATGTAGTTGTCAGTTCACTACTCACCGTTATAACTGCAGCAGATGGAGAAAACAAGCAACAGAAGAAAGAAGGAAACAACATTGGTTTACTTTCAATAAAACGATCAATGTGACAATGTAGGCCAGTCCCAATCAGAGTTGGGCTCAATTGAGTGTTTAAACTAGAGTTCTGGGACTCACCGGTGCGACAGTATGGGTATGCATTCCAGGCTTTTTCATGGAAGACTAACGCTCCCTCTGGTGCGATATACCTCAACCAGCCTGGGACTTTACTGCCAAGAGAGAGACAGGAGTCAATCATATGACTGCGTTTACACATGTAGTCCAATTCAAATATATTTCCACTAATTGGTCTTTTGAGATCAGCTCTTTTATCAGTAATTGGGAAAAAGATCAGAATGGGGCTGCCTGCGTAAACGAAACCTTAGTGTGTGTGTGTGTTTTCCTCCACCCCCCCACTGTATGTGTACCTCTTTAGATGGTAGACTTTGTGTGTGTACTGTCCCTTCTCTCCCTCGTCCTCGTAGGGTTCATTTATCAGCACCTCGATGCCCTCTCCTCCCCCCGTCTCATTCTTACTGGCCTCTGCTACAGTGAACAGCTGACCAACTTGGTACTAAAACACAGAAAGAAGAACACAGAAATATGTCACATATACGCAGAACATCAGTGTCACTAACACACATCAATTGGGCCAATCAGTGACAGAATACCTGTTAGTGCTTGAAAGGGATGTGTACGTTATTTGATGTTATGTTTATATGGTTTATGACCATCCACATTAAGTGTTAGTGGTTTAGGATAATGGGAGGCTAATGGAATTTCACACACATGAACTCTAAACAAACATATCAGGAAAGGAGTTGTGACTTTATGGGCTAGGAGCTGGACAACACAAAGCTCTGTGTAGAAAGTGATTGTGGGTGTGTGTCGTTGCATTGACAGTACCACAGAGAGAGGACCAATACAGTCACCGGCCCAATACTGCAACCCTGTCCTATTGTTCTCTAACAAGGGACCTATTGTCCCTCTGCATCGGCCTGAAAACACACAAACACACACAGTTCCACTTTAGGAACAAGAGAGGAGGAAAGGAGATTCTCAGATAAACTGGAACAGTGGGCCTTAGTTGGCTGCAATGTATTTGGCTTGTTTAGAATTGATTCCAAGGGAGAGATAGGGAGGAAGGAAGATAGGGAAAAAGCACCTCATGTCTGACCTGCTGTTCTAGAGGATGGGTCAGTCACTGAGCTACTGTTTCTCTAAACACAAAGGTCAGAGGTCACTATCTGCTATTATCAGCTACAGTTTGTCCTGAGAGGCTTTACACCTAGGTGTGAAATCGAATGCTTCCCTTGATACCCTGGGCACATCTAGAGGTAAATGGGGAAGCCAGGCAAACAGCTAGACTAAGGGAATTTTATACCAACATCTACGACTCTGCCTGGGGATCAATAAAGCCCAACCACTCCATATCATGAATATACACTTAGTGTACAAAACATTAAGAACACCTTCCTAATATTGAGTTGCACCCCCTTTTGCCTTCAGAACAGCATCAATTCGTCGGGGCATGGACTCTACAAGGTGTCGAACGCATTCCACACGGATGCTGGCCCATGTTGACCCCAATGCAAAGTTGGCTGGATGTATTTTGGGTGATGGACCATTCTTGATACGGGAAACTGTTGAGCATGAAACACCCAGCAGCATTGCTGTTCTTGACACAAACCGGTGCGCCTGGCACCTACTACCATACCACGTTCAAAGGAACTTAAATATTTTTGTCTTGCCCATTCACCCTCTGAATGGCACATTCATTTATTTGGGTAACAGAGATATACAAATACTTGTCTCAAGGCTTAAAAGATCCTTCTTTAACCCGTCTCCTCACCTTCATCTACACACAATCCATGTCTCAATTGTCTCAAGGCTTAAAAATCCTCCCCTTCATCTACACTGATTGAAGTGGATTTAAAAGTTGACATCAATAAGGGATCATATATTTCACCTGGATTCACCTGGTCAGTCTGTCTTGGAAAGAGCAGGCGTTCCTAATGTTTTTAACAACTACAGTAGTTGAAACTACAACCACACATAACAAGCTTCCAGAGGTGCAGCCTGCCCTGAGGTGAATCATTATATGGAAGTGAGGTGATTTACTTCAGTCTGTAGAACTGGGGGGGGGGGGGGGGGGGGGGATGGCCTTTCCTGTCAGGATATATGACCCCTCCAGGGTGGTGACTTTACAGCTGTCACACAGTGTACCTGCACTAAAATATTTATGTGCTGCTGCTGCATCACATGTCGCCCAATGCTGGAGTTTTAATGCTGTGACAGCAGCATTACCCAGAGAAATCAGGGGAAATGGAATGCAGTGGAGAGAGAGGCATGTCACAGACATTCACCTATATAAGCTGCTGCTAGTAGGGATGTGACCAATGGACCATTTTTTGTAACATTTAAAATGGCAATTTTTAAAAGCGTTTTCTGTTAAAACGATAAGAAAATGTAATACAATTCCACGTGAATTCACAATGCTAATATATCGGTCGGCAGTGATTTCATCTTCTGATTTAGCTTGTTGTAGCCTGCCTGCTGCTAGCTACAGGTAACTGCCAAAATAAAGGAAACACTTGTTTAAATGAGGGATACAAAGTATATTGAAACCAGGTGCTTCCACACAGGTGTGGTTCCTGAGTTAATTAAGCAATAAACATCCCATCATGCATAAAAATGCCCAGTTGCCCATTATTTTGGCTACCATGGCTAGAAGAAGAGATCTCAGTGACTTTGAAAGAGGGGTTTTAAAGGAACATAGCGGGTTTAACACTAGAACCGCCAGCCTTTCAGGCTAAAAGTATCCGCTAGAGAACATTGTCAAGCGTCCCCATATGCCTGTCCTCGTTGGACCCCCCCTTCCAGACAATGACGGGTCAACATTCTAACAGTCTAATAAATACATTACATATATGCCATCGGAAGAATAATCATTTGGTTGTTTTAATGAAATATCTTAGGTAACATTAAAATAAAAAACAAATATTTCAAATTGTGTTATTTGACAAAGGTATGCGTCTTAGAAACTGCAGAATATGCTCTTTCTGATGCTATATAGAAATCTAAATGTTTTATCTGCATGTGACTGAAGGAGGATTTGATAAAGTGGTGCTCCTTTCATTGCCTCTGTCAATTCCAAGCTGTGCACAGCTCTTCATATACAATTTGACAATAGATAATAGCCAATTTAATCTTGTCTTTAGGCTAACTTTTATTGTGTGAAATTAGTTTGGGTATAGTTTAGGTGTATTTTCGATGAGCCGGCCGCTCAGGCTGACTGGCATCATTTGTTTACCTCGCTCATCAACTCGGAGAGTCAAGGATATGTTTTGCATTATTCTAAAGGCCTATTGCAACACTTAGCATGTTCTTGTTTCCCTTACAATAAACATTATAAACAGGGCGTGTGTGTGTTTTCAGGCCGATGCAGAGGGACAATAGGTCCCTTGTTAGAGAAGAACAGGACAGGGTTGCAGAATTGGGCCGGTGACTGTATTGGTCCTCTCTCTGTGGCACTGTCAATGCAGACACACCAACAATCTCTTTCTACACACACAGTCACCAGTTCTCAACCCAATTGAACACTTATGGGAGATTCTTGAGCGGCACCTGAGACAGCATTTTCCACCACCATCAAAACACCAAATGATGGAATTTCTCATGGAAGAATGGTGTTGCATCCCTCCAAGAGTTCCAGACACTTGTAGAATCTATGCCAAGGTGCATTGAAGCTGTTCTGGCGACTCGTGGTGGCCCAACGCCCTATTAAGACACTATGTTGGCGTTTCCTTTATTTTGGCAGTTACCTGTAAACTTACAAACACAGGGATGGAATTTTACCTAGCTAGCTTGCCAGCTAGCTAAGGACGTTGGGCACTGCACTGATAGTTTGACAGCTGCTGATGAAGTTTTAGACACGTTTCCAGCAGTCAGTCCATACTTCACCATGTTTCCAAAGCACCAATCACTACGTTGTAACGTTGGGTCAGCTAAAAGCATAGTGCAGCAGCAGACTCACAGAGCAGGCTGTTCCCGGCTGTCGCTTGCCTTTCTCTGCCATTTTTCCAACTTAACGACAATGACGTGCGGAGAGCTTTATATCCATGGCAGATCATTTGAAAGATGCATATCTCCTACTAACGTTACAGCATAGTTGCATTAGGTATGTCATTTTTTGTTGTTGTTGCCTATGATGATGATGATGATGATGATGATGATGGACCTATTAGTGGTAGTTTTGTGATAACAGCACTGTGATAAACATTTTGTGGATGTTTTTATTAACGTTAACGTCCTAATTTCATTTAAATGTTTACACCCTTAGTAGTGGTTGCTGCTATTATTATTATTATTGCTGCTGCTCAGTCACCCAGTCACTGGGTCTCCAACCCCCTAAAAAGTTTTAGGAACTCAGACGGGGTCTCAACTTACTGTTGAGTTAGAATGGTAGATGCAAGTTCGAAATTTGGTTGTGCATCAGCAATCGTGATCTTGTTATGTCAGTCACTGAGTCACTCAATTAGCCATGTCAGCAAACAAGTTTTAGATTGTTAAATTAGTCTAGCCCGCTATCGTGGCCGAATACCGACACTGCAACAAAATTTCCCCATGGGGACAATAAAGTAAGTAAGTAAGTAAGTAAGATCACGCAGGGCACGTGCCCAGGGGCCCTGACCGCCAGGGTGCACCCATTGATTGTTAGTCACTCTCACTAAGACATCATTAACATGGCAACGTGTAGAATTGCAGGAAATTAGCTTTACAATTATTATTATTATTAATTTTTTTAATCACCACCCCATGCCAAAATGAGTATAATTGCAGGAAATTAGGTGTACAACTTTTTTAAAAATCTCTGCACCTCATGGCAAAATGTGTAGAATTGCAGGAAATTCACTTTAAATCATACATTTCTCGTCGGCGTCTAGAGGGTGGACCACTAAAATGTTTTGCAAGCTTAGGGCCCCCAAAAGGCTAGAGCCGGCCCTGCCCACATCTGCATATCTATCCCTACTACCACTTTATCCCTGCAAATTGATAGGATACTGGTACTGACCTTGTACAGTGCCTTCGTTAAGTATTCAGACCTCTTGACTTTTCCACTTTGTTACGTTACAGCCTTATTCTAAAATTGATTAAATAGTTTCCCCCCCCTCAAATCTACACACAATACCCTATAATGACAAAGCAAAAACAGGGTATACATTTTTGCTCATTTATATAAAACATGTAAAACTGAAATATCACATAAGTATTCAGACCCTTTACTCAGTACCTTGTTGAAGAACCTTTGGCAGCGATTACAGCATTGATTCTTCTTGGGTATGACGCTACAAGCTTGGCACACCTGTATTTGGGGAGTTTCTCCCATTCTTCTCTGCAGATCTGCTCAAGCTCTGTCAGGTTGGATGGGAGCGTTGCTGCACAGCTATTTTCAGGTCTCTGCAGAGATGTTCGATCAGGTTCAAGTCCAGGCTCTGGCTGGGCCACTCAAGGACATTCAGAGACTTGTCCTGAAGCCACTCCTGCGTTGTCTTGGCTGCGTGCTTAGGGTTG